CCTATTCTAATTCTTTCAATTCATTTTTCTTTTATTATTGCTATAGCTAGCATTTCTAGTATAATATTGAATAATAGAGGTGATAATGGGCATTCTTACTTCACCCCTGAACTTAGTGGGAAGGCTGCTAGCTTGTCCTCATTACAGATAATGCTTACTGAAAGTTTTACATAGATACTATTTATCATTTTAAGGAAAGTTTCAATGATTCCTATTCTTTCTAGTGTTTTTAATAGGAATGAGTGTTATATTTTGTCAAAAGCATTTATCTATTGAGATAATCGTATGGTTTTTCTTGGTTTTTGTTATTGTTATAGTCATTTATGCTGATGGTTTTTCTAATATTAAACCAGCTCTGCATTCTTGGTATAAAGCCCACCTGATCATAATGTATAATCTTTGTGATATATCACTATAATCTCCTTGCTAGGCCTTTATTTAAATTTTTGCATCAATATTCATCAGGGAAATTGTTCTGTAGTTTTCTTTCTCTGTTTTTGCTTTTCCTGGTATATCAGCACCATATTTGTGTCATAAAAGGAACTTGGTAGGATTTCTTCTTCACCTATTTTTCCAAATTGAAAAAAGATTTATGAGATTTAGGGAAATGTGAAGTGATCACCAACAATTACAATAAGAGAGACCACACTCTAAAGTGCCAGAAGTAGTGATCACTTAAAAATTCCTAACATAACAGCTAGGAACAGTACTAGAAACTGATCACAAAAACTCCCTAAATAGGAGGATTTATTTAGTCAGTCTGAAACAATAGGAAGCAGAGGGAGTTTGCCAGTGAATGAAATAAAATGCTTAAGTTTGAAAAAGATACTACATGATCTGGCATGGTGATGATCTCTTGAGACAAAAAGAAATCATAGGCCCAAGTTAGGAATCCTAACAGAAAAGAACCAAGTCCCCCTAGGGAAGAATTACTGGAAATTTGGATCTGTCATTCAACTGAATTACTATAGCACTGGCAAGCATCTGAGAAAGAAACTTTTTAAAAGAGTAACCTGCCGGACAGCATTAAAGTAACAAATACTGCATTTATAAGGAATCTAAAGATTTCAAATGCTGAAGGAAAAAAAAATTTAGCAGAAGTGCTTGCAAAAATGAGACAGTAAAATTTTAGACAGCTAAGATGCAAAGCAAGTATAATAAGTTCCTCAATATTTTTCAGCCCCAAAGGGAAAAGCCCTGATTTGTCATACATGTGGATAGTCTACAACAGAGAGAAATTAACACCAAAAGAACACAAATTTTAAAATACCTGGAAAAGCCAAGCAAATTTTGGCATCAATTGACAGACCTGGTCCTTAAAAGGATGTAGACTAGATCAGGATGGCATAAGTGAGCAAAAGTTTGCAATGCCACAGGGAGCTAACATAAAAACTAATTACCACTGAGAGAAAAAATAAATAGGCAGATTATGAGCATCTGCTAGAAAGGGCAAAACTATTTGTGGAATGGATTAGATCTAGATAACGTGATTTACAACAGGAAAATCCAACTTTAACAGTTCCGGAACATTGTCTTCGATATGGGCCATAGTTGTTATTGTTCATCCTTCACCCTTGAAAAGGACCAATGACATTCCAAGGGTGACTTGACTTTCGTGTGAATTGGATTTAAGTGAAGCAGAGCTGTGCAAAGTTACTAGCCTCACTCTCTCCTCCAGAGTCACTCAAGTCCAGCAGCAAGACAAAGTCAAGACCATGATTCATAGAAGTAAAGCAGGAATTTACATTACATCTCCCAGACACAAAGTCTTACATAAAATCTGCTGACAAAAGGAATCATACACAAAATTAATCCATTTAGAAAGATAGGGCCAGAAGTCACAGCTTACTGATGCAAGAAGACCGCCAGCAGAGTATAACCAAAAGAGAGTTATCTTCACCTACAAATGTGGACTAGATAATCACCCATTTACTATATAGATTCAAAAAGAAAATTAAGAACCATGCCTCTGGGATATCTAGGAGAGATGTTTGTTGGCATTTATTGAAGTAAACTCCAACCTATTTGAGGAATGGCAGAATATTCCAAGCAATGATCTGGGACTTGATACTTGGACACCTTGATTACTCATGAATCTTGTACAGAAGCTTATAGGAGGATAGAAGCAAATGGTGGCAGTAATGTCAGCAGGGAACTGTTTCTCCAGCTCAGAAGTGGAACCAGAGGAATTTCACTTTAATTACTCTCAAGGTCCTGAAAAATAGGAAGATCAGCTAAAGGAGAAGCATATTGAGGGGAAAGGCAGTGGAAGGGGGAAGGAGAAAAGGATAAGTGTATTCTCATTGCAATGAGATGTACCAAAGGAGTAACCAAATGAAATCCACCTTGCTGATTTCTGACCTTTTCAAGAGAGATCTAGGAATAATTTTCTATCTGGGCTGAAAGGTTTCAAAAAAACAGCTGTTGATCAGTGATATCACAGAATCTAGTAGTCTATTACACATCACCTCTAGTAGTGGTATGAAAGAAGAATGAGAATATAGAAAGGTGTGTAGACAACTGTACTATGAACAAGAGCCCTTCAAAACTTGGCCCCAAACTGTATTCACAGCCTCAGTGGACATTACTGTCCTCCCACAATCTATGATTGACCCAAACTGGACTTTTTCTCACTTCTTCCAATATAACACTCCATCACCCATTTCATGCCTTTGAGCTAGACATCCCACATATTTGGAATGAGGATCAAAGAAGGGCTAGAATCATCCAACCAGTCTTTTTGTGTTCCCCACTTTCCTTTAAACCATAAGCCTGAGGTAGAGAGGAAGAAAATCCTTCCCCCATTTCTCTTTATTAGCCACAAGTATACTCAGAAAATAGTTCATTAAAGACTGACCTCGAAGGGAGTGATCCTGGTAGGAGGAGTTTCTATTGGGTTCTTCTGAATTTTGATTGTACTAATGTCAGGATCCCCAAGCCAAGACCACCCCTCTCTTTTTACTCCTCTGTTAGGAGTCACCCTATTTTCCAGAGCTAAGGCACAGCAAGAAAGCTATGCCCTGAGCTTGGCATACCAGCAATCCTTTGTGCTCACCCTCTGGATGATCTCAGCCACAGCAAAATCCCAGAATTGTTTCACACCAGCACCAGGTATTCTCTAACCTCAAAGAAGTCCCTTCAGTATCCATGTTCCAGTCACAAAGCCCCACTATGAATCAAACTTGTCTCATTGTTGCTGTTACCCCACATTGTTAGGGCTACAGTTCACTGTGGGCCAATAGTATATAGACAGAGATTTGCACACATTAAAGTGGGTCCCCTACTAGAGAGGGCCCCAGTACATGTGTCTACTTTCCTCCCTCCAATGGAATAAAGAAAGCTTTTTGCTTATGACCACTATTGGCTCTTCAGTTTTATTTTGTTATTTCAGAGTCAACTGTGGTGATAACCTGTGTGAGCAATTTGGTATTTTTAGAGTTACAGCAGTTGCATACACTCTGTGACTCTTTGGTCATTTATGACCAGTGTTGATGCTTATTTAAAACTGTGAATTCATAACACATTAAAGGTCTGAATCTATAGCTTGATCAGATACTGATCAGAGATAATGAAAGATTCCTTATTGTTTTCTTTGTATACCTAGTACCTAGCACTATAGTTGCCACTTAGTAAATGCTTATTAGTTGATTAATATGTATATATGTCAGAGGGAATAATATGGGACTTTTAGGCATTATTTAAGCTTTTTAAATACAATCTAAGAAATATAAATGTTAGTAAACTACCAACCCCTAATCTAGCTTCCAAATTCTACCACTAATTCAATACAGTTTAAGGTATCAAACATATAAAGCATCCACCATGTGTCAGGCACTATAGTAGGCCCTGAGTAGTACAGAGATATAAAGTCCCTGCCTTCACAGAGCTTATATTACATGAGTCAGCATAAAATAGGGGATAGAGTACTAGACTTGGCCACAGTTCAAATCCTACCCCAGTCACTAGCTATGTTACCATGCATAAGTCACTTAATTTCTCAAAGCCTAGGTTTCCTCATCTGTAAAATGGAAATTCCCATATTATCCACCTGAAAAAGTTGTTATAAGGTTTAAATGAAAGAATGTTGCACAGTTTAAATGAGATGATATACGTAAAGCTTTTGTAGCAACTTTTTGGGAGGGGGAAATAAGTACACAAAATAAATATGTAGTAAATTTGGGGGGTGGGACACTAACAACTGAATAAGGAAAGGCCTCTTGGAAGAGCTGGCACTTGAGCTAACCCTTGAAGTGAAGTACAGATTCCAAAAGTCAGAAGTGAAGAGAGAAAACATTATTGGCTAAGAGATAAGTGAGCCACGGATAGAATGTATGTAAAGGGGAGAAGCAATTAGCCTAGTTTGGTTGAAACAAATAGGGAAAAGATGTAAAAATCAGTCTGGAAAAATGGATTAGAACCAGCATATGAAGGGCTTTACACATCAAAGGCTGTTTGTATTTTATCTTAGAAGTACTAGGCAGCCACTGAAGCTCCTTGAGTAAGGGAGTGACCCCCTGGGCCTAGTCCCTTTATCATTTTTGGAGGTCTGTGGAGGATGCATTGGAGAAGAGATTGGATACATAAAGACCCGTGAGGAGGTTATTACAATAGTTCAAGTAAAAGGGTGAGTGGATCACAGATCGAGAGATGGAAGCAGGGGTATGCAAGAAACAATTCTAACCAGGCTTTCCAGGCTCCCATTGTCTGCTTAAGAAAGTGTTAATAACACTGATTAAATTTTAAAATGTGTGTCCTGAATGCTAAACATTTACTAACACACTCCTGTCCAGAAGAGACTTCAGAGGTCATCTAATCCAACCCATTTTCTAAGATGAAAATAAGGAAGCAAGAGCCCAGAGAATGGTAAGGCTGTGAAGTGGCCCAGGTCCACCAAGCCCCGCGCTGCCCATTGCACTATATAGACAAGGGCCCAGAGCCACCACAGTGGGATGGACGCCTGCACGCCACGGAAGAGGCTCCCCCGGAGGAGGCCCACTAGGGTCCACGCATAGAGGATGACGGGGAACGTGTCAGCGGGGTTCTGCACAGTCCCTCCCCCGCCTGCAGCTGCTCAAGATTCAGCGAAAGCGCCGCGGGAAGCGCTCGCCGGGGCTGGCTCCCTAGAAGAGAGAAAGGGCTTCCCATCATTCCCTGCGCGACAGCGGAAAGCTCCCGGGACTCGCGCCGGAGGTCGATCGCGTCCTCTTTTCCCTCCCAGGACACCGTAGGCCGCGGTCGCCATGGGGACCTGAGGTCAGCTTACATGCCTTGGCCACCGGCTACCCGGTCCCGGGTGTTCGCCGAGCTGGCGCCGCTAAGTGAGAGGGGCCGGGATGGCTTCTGTGGCGCCGCCGGGGAGATGCTGCCGAACCTCCGCAGCCACTTGCCCCTCTGCGCGTCCTCGGCACCGCCATCGGCCCAGAATCCGGCCCGCGAGGTGCACGTGAGCGGCTCGGCGGAGATGTGCGGCCCGGACCGGGCGCTGGTTACGGTGAAGGTCAGCAGCACCAAAAACTCGGCCGCCGAGGCCAAGAACAGTGTGGGCCGCCGCCTGGACTACATCGTGCAGAGCCTGCAGAAACCCGGCATCCAGGTGAGAGGAGCCCTTAGGATGGCCGGGGGGCCGCAGCGTCGGGCCCCGAGAGGAGGTGATGGCGGGAGGAGGACAGGCAATGGGGACGGACGGGGGGAGGGCGCTGAGAGACTCCTTGGGGGGAGCTTCTGACTCTGTGCCAGTCTGGTGACGCCTTTGACTCCCCTCTATGAATCATATCGTACAGAAAATAAAATCCATAGGATTACAAAGGAAACCAGTTACAACGAAAGTTATCCTCCCCAAATATTGGTTGTTTTTTTTTTAGTGTTCATGCACCCCAGTTAAGAACCTCTGCTCTAAATGTAAATAAATTCAAGGGGTGGGGTGCTGTCTTTGATTTATTTTAAAATTTTGATTTGCGCTTTTAAATTTTAAGCATGTAAAAGGGTGAGCGTTTAAATTTCGAAAAGTTGCGGGCTGATACGAAAACTCTTTTTGCATTTAATTCAGCCTCTGTCTGCATCGGTAGAGGGAGCTGCCATACCTGGAGTTCCCCACCGGTCGGAAATCACGGGTCCCAACACTTACCCGCAGCCCTCCTGAAATAAAAAAATTAAAAGAATGCTCCTTGGTAGTGGGAAACAAGGGTTATCCTTAACCACATTGACGATATCTGTTTTCAGGTTTCTCTTGGGTATTCCCAGTGCCTCTCAAGCAGAATCTAGTCTAGTCAGAATTTGCTTGTATGTTGTTTTTAAGACAAGCCTTTGCCTTACTATCCAAATACTCCACTTTTTTTTCCCCCAGTACTAAATAAGTAATTAACTTTTAGCCACAATAGTTTAAAGAAGTCAAGCCAAGCAGTGTAGTGCACTGGAAAGAGCAGTGGACCTTGGTTCAAATCACTTTGCTATCTTGCATAAATCACTTAACCTTCACTGAATCTAGGTTTCCTCCTCTAGTGAGAGGAGATTAATTAGCTGACTCCAGAGAGGACCTTCACACTCTAGACCAGTGATCCTATATAGCAGGAGTTCTTTTTTTCTTTTTCTTTTTCAAATTGAATTTTATTACCCAATTATATTTCCCCAGTGACTTACATTGTAATTTTCAAGATGCTTAATCTTCGTTTTGATTGGTCTCCACTTGGAAGTGCTTGCAAACACAATTTCTCTGGCCCCCAGGTTTGGTCAGTTACTTAATAATCTGTACAACACATATACCTGGAAAACCTTTTTCTAATGCAACCTGTAATTTATCAATCTCTCTGTCTCTGTCTCTGATTTTCACATATTAGAGGTTTTAGTTAATTTTGTTTTTTTTAAGTAGGTCACACCTCTAAAATAGAAGATCATGGCTAATTCACTCTTCCTAAAGAGATAAAATGTTACTGTCAGGCAGAAAAGCATTTGGAGGCCTGACTTTTCCAGGATTGATGCAGCTGATATCAGATGCAGAATTTGAAGTCATGTCTTCCTTACCCTGAGTCCACAACTCTCTCTCTCTCTATAATACCATTCTGAATCTTCTAAAATGATTAAAGTCTTTATTGATGTCTTGTTCTGAAATCTCCTTATTACCTAGATCTAATACTGGACATTTATTAGAGTCTACTTAACCTGGAGTCTAAGAACTTGATAAATAGGCAGATATTTGTTTTATTAATTTAACATTATTCTGAGATGTACTTATGGGCTTCATCAGACTGCCAGAGAGGTCCATCACACAAAAAATGGTTAAGAATTCCTGGTTAGTAGATGGATTTCTAGTTCATAACTGCTTTCTGCCATCAATACTTATTCAGATTTCCTATCCAATGTTGGATATTTGCAGAGCTTTAGGAAAGCTCTGCTTAAACCAATGATGAGTAAAGATTGAATTTTGAAGTCCAATGCATTTGTATGTTAGTCATTTGATATTTGTACAAAAGATAACTGTAGAAAGTAAGTTGATAACAAATTTTTAAAAGGTTTCACGTTATATGTGTATTAAGTATTGTTAAGTTAAAATAACCTATAAAATAGCCAAGAAAATAACTTCTCAAAAAAAAAGGTTAACAACTATAAGCTCTGTTACAATCTGGTTCAAATGTTAAAAAACCACTGTATATACAGTGTTTGCATAAATATGTATATTGAGATCATGAGGAGTTATCTTCTGCTAGGATATAAAAGAAGTCACTTGATTCTGCTGTAATTGTACTGAAATTCAATATTCAGGGCAAGTAAAATGAAATAGTAATCTCCCAGTTATCTGTTCTAATAAAGGAAAGCAGTCATGTGGATAATTCAAAGCAGTAGATAATCCAAAAAGTCATTTAAATTATACTTTGGAATGGATCATACAAGGTTTTCAAAGTCATGGGGCACTTTTAAACTTTAATCACTTAGATTGTGACTATTTTTACAAATGACACTTAAAAGCAAATGTTACAAAAGTATAGGGCAACTTCATTACAAATGCAGCTATGTACAACATATTCTCATTTCACATTCTGTGACAGAAAAATGTTACAGTATGTTTAACAGAACTAAAGTCCTTACGGGGGAAAGAATTCTGTTGACCTTTATGTATGCCCTTTTCAACATAGCTTATGGTACTTACTATCACTCTGCCTTCAGGTTTAAAAAAAAAAAGATTCTTTAGCTGAGTATCTTGGCTGATTCCAGCTATCATGACATTCAGAAGAAGATGTAAAAGAGTAGTCCCAAAACATCATTATTACAATTGATACAAGTCCAAAACAGATTGGTATTTGGTATATTTGGTATATGCTTTCCTCCCTCCCCCCAGTTCTAAATAAATAGCATCTGGCTGCTGGGGCATCATCTTGCTAGATACTGAGTATGAACAGTATTTAAATAAAACACAGAGCTATATAATAAAAACTTAAAAGCCAGCAGCTCCAGGGTCTTTGGTTCACAATAATAATGTATTTTTACATAAATCCGCACATTTAGTAGAAAAGCTTATAATAATAAATATGTAAAAGTGTGACTTACTGCAATTGTATTTGAGTACATCATTCAGGACACAGACCTAACAGATTTTAAACCAGATTATAGAATTTAAAACTGAACAGGACTTAAGAGACCATTTAGTCTAACCCTGTCATATTACCAGATGAGGAAACTGGTATCAGTAAAAGTTGCTTATAGTTTTACAGCTAGTAGCAGAGCTGAAACGAGGATGTAGGTCTCCTAATTCAAAGTTTAGGGCTTTTTCTACCAAACAATTTAATTACCTCCTAACCTAGGGACATAAAGGCCTGTGTGTTAAAGAAGACCACAGCCCATAGAACAACAAAAGCCTGACAACTTAGAGTTAAGACCTACAGCTTTTTAATAGTGGACATGGGAGTTTTAAACTAACTAGAATCATAGTTTTAAAAGCTGGAAAGGACCTTAAAAGATATCAGGTCCAACCCCCTCATTTTTTTATTAAAGAACTGAGACCCAAAAAAGTTCACATAGAATCAGAAATCTAAAGCTGAAAGGGGCTCCTGAGGCCATCTAGCCCAACCCTCTCATTCTGCAGATGAGGACCTGAGGCCCAGAGAGGGTGAGATGACATACCCTTCATTCAAGTTTACAAAGGTAGTAAGTATCAGAACTGGGATTTGACCCCAGACTGTATGCTACCTCTTACCAATCAAGACACTCTCACATTCTTTTGCTTACTCACAAATAAAGGAAGGAAATAATACTCTTCTATGATAGTTGGCTGAGCAAGTTTCTCTAACTGTTCACACCTAATTTAACTGAGCCTTCCAACTATGGTAATGTCCCTCATAGTGCCTGCCCCTTTTGTGTATTTTCTGCATTATTTATGCCTGCTAATTAGATTGTAAATTCCTTGGTAGTGGGGACTCTGTCATTTTATTTCTATTTCCTCAAACCTGCTAACTTAGTGAGTTGAACATAGTAAGAGTTCAATTCATTCATTCTTTCTACAACCGTATATTATATGCCTGCTTTATGCAAGGCTTTGTGCTACGCTCAGCTGTTACAGAAATGAAGAAAAGTGCTTGAGGACATGCATGCACACATACACACACCTCTAGATGGTATAGTGAATAGAGTACTGGGCCTGGAGTCAGGTGTGCTCTTCTTCCTGAGTTCAAATCTAGCCTCAGACACTTACTAGCTGTGTGACCCTGAGCAAGCCACTTAACCCTGTCTGCCGCAGTTTCCTCATCTGTAAAATGAGCTGGAGAAGAAAATAGCAAACTACTCCAGTATCTTTGCTAAGAAAACCCCAAATGAACTATTCCCAAAGGGTTATAATACCATGCATACCCTTTGACCAAGCAATACCACTATTAGGTCTGTATCCCAAAGAGATAAAAACAAAAAGGAAAAGACCTATATGTACAAAAATATTTCTAGCAGCTATGTTTATGGTGACAAAGAGTAGGAAATTGAGGTGATGTCCATCAGTTGGGTAATGACTGAACAATTTGTTGTATATAGTGGTGATGGAATATTCTTGAGCTATAAGAAATGATGATCAGGGCAAAACATACTTCTAGGAGCCAACATGTAGAGTAAGCAGTAAATCACTGTAATTCTCCCATATTCACCTCCAAACAACCATAAAATAGTGTCCCAAACAAATCCCTCCATCCCCCATATGCCTCAGCATAGCCAGGGGAACAGGCAAACTCCACCTCTGAGAACTGTCACGTGCTTCAGTATAACCCACAACAAACAGGTAGACTCTGGGTGCCTAAGTGAACAGGCAGCCTCTAGGGATGGGCCCCCTCCAGTGGCCAGATCACCATGTGCTTCAATGTATCACCAGGGAAATGCAGAAACACCCCCACAGGCCTCAGCATATGCCAGACACTAATGCTAGGAAATGTCCCCCCACCTTAGCACCAGAGACCCTTATGGCCTCCAGGATCACTAGCCACACCCCACCCCCTCATCACAGCAACAGACACCAGGGTCCCCTGTGGGCTTCAGGGAAACATCAGTTAACACCAGGAAAACAGCCAGGGCCTATAGCGCCTGGCACAAGAATTCCGAAACAGCGCCCCTTCCACCCCAGGAGCA